AGAGGCGGGGCCCAAGAGTTAATGTTCAATCAAACATGCGCAAATGGGTTATCTTGAGATGATTTCGGGGCTTAGCGTCCCCTCGGGCCGGTCCTCGACGGGGTGAGTACACATGTGTGACGCAAGCACAACAAACACACTGGGACAGCCTCAAAACTCAGTCTCCTTCAGCAAAGGTTTCCACATTTCCGACAACACAATTCCAGGAACAAAGACGAAATACGGAAAAAGGAGAGAAACACGAGAGGAACCGAAGCTTTGTCATCTTGTCGTTGTGAACGACACTCTCTCTCCTTTGTGTGATATATGAATGTGTTTCTTAGGTGGAGGGGGGGAGGGGGGTAGGTCCATGGCGGGGGTGGTCTCGGGTGATGGTGGAGGCTGTCCACAGAGTGCCGGCGGGGGCGGTGAGGACGGGCCCAGAGAGGCAGCCTGGTAACAGTGGCAACCTTCGTTATTGTGTTGTTATTCTTGGCGACTGCGGACCGCCCGGTGTTGTGTGGCTGTGAGCGCCGACACACACAGTACCGGTTGCTAGCGGTGTCATTATGCACACTTCTTTCTGTGCGCGCGCACGCGCGCACACACACACACACACACATACACATACACACACACACACATACACACACACACACACACACACACACACACACACATACACACACACACACACACACATACATACATACATACATACATACATACATACATACATACATACATACATACATACATACATACACGCGCGCACACACACACACACTCAGAGCGAGTCAGAGAAAGAAAAAGACTTGGGGGTTGATATCACGCCAGACCTATCTCCTGCAGCACATATCAAGAGGATAACATCAGCAGCATATGCCAGGCTGGCCAACATAAGAACGGCATTCAGAAACTTGTGTAAAGAATCATTCAGAACTTTGTATACCACATATGTCAGATCAATCCTGGAGTATGCAGCCCCCAGCATGAAGTCAATATCTAGTCAAGGATAAGACTAAACTGGAAAAGGTTCAAAGGTTTGCCACCAGACTAGTACCCGAGCTGAGAGGTATGATCTACGAGGAGAGACTAAGGGAATTAAACCTCACTTCGCTGGAAGACAGAAGAGTTAGTGGGGACATGATCGCCACATTCAAGATTCTCAAGGGAATTGATAGGGTAGATAAAGACAGGCTATTTAACACAAGGGGCACACGCACTAGGGGACACAGGTGGAAACTGAGTGCCCAAATGAGCCACAGAGATATTAGAAAGAACATTTTTAGTGTCAGAGTGGTTGACAAATGGAATGCATTAGGGGGTGATGTGGTGGAGGCTGACTCCATACACAGTTTCAAGTGTAGATATGATAGAGCCCAATAGGCTCAGGAACCTGTACACCTGTTGATTGACGGTTGAGAGGCGGGACCAAAGAGCCGAGGCTCAACCCCCGCAAGCACAACTAGGTGAGTACACACTGGGAATAGTACCTATAATAATGTTGTACTCCACAAAGGTCCAAATATCTAACTACCGGTAAAGGGCGTTAACAAAACCTTCACATCAACCTAACCTAACCTATCATAAGCCTAAATAAGCCACCCTAGGCCTAAAACATTTATAGGTCAAATTTCATTTAATATAAAATACTAGGCCTAGGAAAAGTTAGATTTTGTTGTTGCCTTCTTTTTCCCGCCCTATACGAAAGCGTTAGTTCAAAACGGAGCTTTTTTTTAAGGGGGAACTGTCTATATTTTGTACACTCCATCTACAGCACTATAGATAATATTAATTTTATTATTATTATTACTGGAGGCAAGGTTGAATTCTGTGTAGTGCTTCCTGAGATGTGAAACACGTGTTCCTCCCCAAGAGTTAGATAACCTGCCTAATTAACACCCTCACCTCAAGTACGCTAAGCCTTTGTCCTCTTCCTTGACGGAGAAAAATATAATTTTCGGAGAAAATCCATTTATATAACAAAATTAAAATAAAAAATTAGTTTGGGGTTAAGTGCTGGGTTTAAGGCCTATGAACCTTTAGAGTTTTTTTTTTTTAGGCTACCACAATATTTTCCTGACCAACCAGCAAGAATACTTCAGTCCTGAACATTGTCCAGGACTAAGGGAAAGTCTTAGCTTATGTACACCGTGAAGCAGGATATATACATGCCCGGAAAAGTGAAGTAACTTCCTCACAGCTATTTAACAAGAAATACATAACCATTTAAAACATGAACTGCATTTGTAGTAAGCTGAGGTGGCCTAGTCTAGGCGTGCTGAATACAACGTTAAGATTACTAAATAAGTTCCTCCACGATCGTATCTAACTTGAAGCCTTTGCAGATAGACCATATTCAAAGTTTTCCGACGTATCGAAGGGTGAAGGCAGCCAGTTAGAGAAGTCTCCTCCCCGTCGCTGACAGCTCCCAGATAAGAAAATGGATTGTCTATGTTTTATCGTGCTTCTGTATGGCTGACTGACGCCTCAACAGCTGCCTAATAAACAACAAATTCATTTTCTATTACGGGTTAATTTTTATTGAAGAACCGTTCAGTGTATTTTGTTTTAATGTTTATAATGATAATCATTTTTATTTATATAAAAATACAACTGAAATACAGCATAGTATTCATAGATTACTATATAATTGATATATTTTATGGGGTGGGGGGTGACTACGATTTAATTCGCTTGTTATTAAGAGACGAGAACACATCATTATTCATTGTATTGGCAGTAATTAGGTACTGATGTGGTGGGTAAATTCAGGTAAAATACCACGGAGAACATTGTAAGAAAATTAATGTGTTTATTTAGCCAACTTTTGTCCAAGTTACTGATCGTGTGTGTGTGGGGTGATGATGTGTGTGGGGTGTGATGTGTGTGTGTGTGTGTGGGGTGTGATGGTGTGTGTGGGGTGGTGGTGTGTGTGGTGGTGGTGTGTGTGGATACTTTGGGAGGTGTGGGAGGTGTATATTGTTTGTACTCGCTACACTGCCCAAGGCTACACAGGCCAAGGATACTCCACCAAAGTATCTTAGAACACAGCCACACCCACATACATATACACACACACATACACATACACACCCACACCCACCTACACACTGGCTCACATGTGTTTTTCCTGAAGATGCCGCCATGTGGTCCCAAAGCTCACTATAGCCACCAGTACCGTGGAATTTCTGGGAGAAATTATGACCCTATGAAAATGACGACCTTTCCAATATGGAATATTGCCCACGTCGAGGCGGTCAACAGACGTACATTCACCTCGGAGGAAAGAAACATTTAATATACATATAGGCTCTGACTTCTGCTGGCTGTGATCCTAGTACTGCCACGCGGAGATCCCAGCCATCGGGGCTAGACTCACTGGCCGAGCCTAGCGCTGGGATCATTGGCTGAGCCTAGCACCTGGCGCTGGGATCACTGGCGGAGCCTAGCACCTGGCGCTGGGATCACTGGCGGAGCCTAGCACCTGGCGCTGGGATCACTGGCGGAGCCTAGCACCTGGCGCTGGGATCACTGGCGGAGCCTAGCACCTGGCGCTGGGATCACTGGCGGAGCCTAGCACCTGGCGCTGGGATCACTGGCGGAGCCTAGCACCTGGCGCTGGGATCACTGGCGGAGCCTAGCACCTGGCGCTGGGATCACTGGCGGAGCCTAGCACCGGGCGCTGTGATCACCGCCGGGCTAGGTTAAGTAAGGCGGTGCCCGACAATATTAATAAATTCAGGACTTACAAATGTAACATCTTCTTTATCATATCAAAATCCTGCGAATTTTACTGTTCATTATTTTCAAATAAATATAACTATAATTTTAGCCAAGGAATATTACAGTATTTTTTTTCTAACAATAGCCTAGGCCCGGGTTATGGAAACAATGACGAAATTAACCTAAAACACATTTATTCTACGGAAGGGAAGGGATCAGGAGAGAGCTCCAAGCCATTACGACTATATAGCACTTGGAAATTGGGGGGGGGGGGAGGGGGGGGGGTCAGGATAAGGAATTATGATGGGTCGAGGGATGGGGGTGGGGGGGGGGAGAATGGTGCTCAGCCACTTGGACGGTCGGGGATTGAACGTCGACCTGCATGAAGCGAGACTGTGGCTTTAGCCTTAAGGAAAAAAATGGCAAAACATGCATGTTTCTCCTGAAAACTACCTTAGCTAACCCAGGCTCGGGGGACATGTAACCCAGGCTCGGGGGACATGTAACCCAGGCTCGGGGGACATGTAACCCAGGCTCGGGGGACATGTAACCCAGGCTCGGGGGGCATGTAACCCAGGCTCGGGGGACATGTAACCCAGGCTCGGGGGGACATGTAACCCAGGCTCGGGGGACATGTAACCCAGGCTCGGGGGACATGTAACCCAGGCTCGGGGGACATGTAACCCAGGCTCGGGGGGCATGTAACCCAGGCTCGGGGGACATGTAACCCAGGCTCGGGGGGACATGTAACCCAGGCTCGGGGGACATGTAACCCAGGCTCGGGGGACATGTAACCCAGGCTCGGGGGACATGTAACCCAGGCTCGGGGGACATGTAACCCAGGCTCGGGGGGCATGTAACCCAGGCTCGGGGGACATGTAACCCAGGCTCGGGGGGACATGTAACCCAGGCTCGGGGGACATGTAACCCAGGCTCGGGGGGACATGTAACCCAGGCTCGGGGGACATGTAACCCAGGCTCGGGGGACATGTAACCCAGGCTCGGGGGACATGTAACCCAGGCTCGGGGGGACATGTAACCCAGGCTCGGGGGACATGTAACCCAGGCTCGGGGGACATGTAACCCAGGCTCGGGGGACATGTAACCCAGGCTCGGGGGGACATGTAACCCAGGCTCGGGGGGACACGTAACCCAGGCTCGGGGGGACATGTAACCCAGGCTCGGGGGACATGTAACCCAGGCTCGGGGGACATGTAACCCAGGCTCGGGGGACATGTAACCCAGGCTCGGGGACGCCAGGCAGGACTGTGACCGGCGCGACGTTAACTCACCTGGTACTGGAAGGCGGAGAGGCCTCGCTGCAGTCGTCTGTTCTTCTCCTGTATGGACGAGTCGAGGCGGTCCAAGAGGTCGTTCAGACCGCTCGACCTGGAGAGCGTGTCGGTGTGGCTGTGTCTGGCCGCGTCAACTAGTCCCGTCGCTAACAGGGTGACCAGGTAGCCCCATAGTGTCACCTGGCTCAGCCACTGCATTATATTGGCACTCGTCGACAGACGGCCGTCAAGCGTAGACAGGCGGCTGTGAGGCGTATGACAGAGAGAGAGATAAGGATCCTGGTTCAGCCCTCAGAATTACCTACAGTCTCCTACACCGGAAAGATTTCTATCAAAGAACTGGCTTTCTGTCTCCCTATCCTCAGTACAAACTATCCCGGAACTTTTGAGCGTGTTGTTTTTTGGTCACGTTTTCGATCCGAACTTTGCTTCTTTGCAGAGTGTACGTCCAGAAGTTGTTGTCTACGAGTTCAGACGAGAGTACACGGGCCGCACGTCGCGTTGTAACTCGACGAACCTCTGGCTTCAACTGAAGGGCAAAGCCGCTACCCAGCTCCTTATATACCCACTGGGACACCAGCCTAGGGGTGGGGGGTGGGGGGGAGGTCCTGAATGGCGACTCTGAAGACTTGTTGGCTCCAGCGACGTGTTGGCTCCGGCGACGTGTTGGCTCCAGCGACGTGTTGGCACCAACGACGTGTTGGCTCCGACGACGTGTTGGCACCAGCGACGTGTTGGCTCCGGCGACGTGTTGGCTCCAGCGACGTGTTGGCACCAGCGACGTATTGGCTCCGGCGACGTGTTGGCACCAGCGACGTGTTGGCTCCAGCGACGTGTTGGCACCAACGACGTGTTGGCTCCGACGACGTGTTGGCACCAGCGACGTGTTGGCTCCGGCGACGTGTTGGCTCCAGCGACGTGTTGGCTCCGGCGACGTGTTGGCACCAGCGACGTGTTGGCTCCGGCGACGTGTTGGCTCCAGCGACGTGTTGGCTCCAGCGACGTGTTGGCACCAACGACGTGTTGGCTCCGACGACGTGTTGGCACCAGCGACGTGTTGGCTCCGGCGACGTGTTGGCACCAGCGACGTGTTGGCTCCGGCGACGTGTTGGCACCAGCGACGTGTTGGCTCCGGCGACGTGTTGGCACCAGCGACGTGTTGGCTCCGGCGACGTGTTGGCTCCAGCGACGTGTTGGCTCCGGCGACGTGTTGGCTCCGGCGACGTGTTGGCACCGACGACGTGTTGGCTCCGGCGACGTGTTGGCTCCGGCGACGTGTTGGCTCCGGCGACGTGTTGGCTCCGGCGACGTGTTGGCTCCGACGACGTGTTGACACCAACGACGTGATGACACCGACGACGTGTTGACACCGACGACGTGTTGACACCGACGACGTGTTGGCACCGTCGACGTGTTGGCACCGTCGACGTGCTGACACCGGCGACGTGTTGACACCAACGACGTGTTGACACCGACGACGTGTTGACACCGACGACGTGTTGACACCGACGACGTGTTGGCACCGTCGACGTGTTGGCACCGTCGACGTGCTGACACCGGCGACGTGTTGACACCGACGACGTGTTGGCACCAACGACGTGTTGGCACCAACGACGTGTTGGCACCAACGACGTGTTGACACCGACGGGAGCTCGTCAGAGGAACATTAAGCGAGGCGGTGAAGTGCTGATCACTAGTACTGATTTCTAATTGACTTCAATATTATTATTACTCTTATTTTAACACTTATATTGTAAGTGTTATCATGTTGGTATTATTATCAGTGGAGGAGGAGGAAACATACAATATGTGTATGAGTGTATTAAACACCAAGTTTTCGGGATGTAACCTCAAGGTGGTGTATACTGTGTTCAGAATAACATTGAGAACATTGTATACAGCTCCTTGAGAAAGGATGAAGGATATATCCAAAAATGTCGTTTTTAACACACACACACACACACACACACACACACACACACACACACACACACACACACACACACACACACACATACAAAACACACACGGTTTTGAGGACCCAGTAGGAATGAGCGACCACAGTGTACTGGTGTTTGAGTACTTGATTGAAGAAGGGTTATTGAACTCGAGGAGGGATACCGAAACCAAAAGGTTAGCATACCGAAAGGGAAACTATGAGGGGATAAGAAAATTCCTAACAGATATAGCATGGGAAACAGAGCTCAGGGGAAAGACGGCCCAAGATATGATGGATTACATCACGCAGAAGTGCAAGGACGCAGCAAACAAGTTTGTCCCAGTCCAAAAGGAAAACAGAGAAATGAAGATGAGAAACCCATGGTTTAATCAAAGATGTAGGCTAGCTAAGCAGCAAAGTAAAAGGGCATGGAGAAACTATAGGAATAACAGGACACTGGAGAGCAGAGAAAGATACCAGAATGCCAGGAATGAATATGTCAGGATGAGAAGAGAGGCAGAAAGACAATACGAAAATGACATCGCAAGCAAGGCAAAGACTCAGCCTAAATTGTTGCATAGCCACATTAGGAGAAAAACAACAGTAAAGGAACAGGTTATGAGATTAAGGATAGGGGCGGAAGGATTCACTACAAATGACAAGGAAGTGTGTGAGGAATTGAATAAGAAATTCCAGGAGGTCTTCACCTTAGAACAAGGAGAAATTCCAGAGGTAAGTGAGGGAATAGCTAACCAGGAACCACTGGAAGAGTTTGAGATTACCAGTGGGGAAGTAAGGAAGTGTTTACTAGAGTTGGACGTGACGAAGGCTATAGGCCCAGATGGAATCTCCCCTTGGGTTCTAAAGGAAGGAGCAAGAGAACTGAGCCTACCACTCTCCATAGTGTATAACAAATCACTGGCAACAGGGGAACTGCCAGATATTTGGAAAGCAGCTAACGTAGTCCCGATATACAAGAAAGGGGATAGACAGGAGGCACTGAACTACAGGCCAGTGTCCCTAACCTGCATACCATGCAAGCTGATGGAGAAGATTGTGCGAAAAAAACTAGTGGAGCATCTGGAGCGAAGGAACTTTGTAACACAGCATCAACATGGGTTCAGGGATGGCAGGTCCTGCCTCACAGGGTTACTTGAATTCTACGACCAGGCAACAAAAATAAGGCAAGAAAGAGAAGGGTGGGCAGACTGCATATTTTTGGATTGTCAGAAAGCCTTTGATACAGTACCACACAAGAGGCTAGTGCGAAAGTTGGAGATGCAGGCTGGAGTGAGAGGGAAGGTACTCCGGTGGATAGAGGAATACCTAAGCAACAGGAGACAACGAGTCTGTGTGAGGGGTGAGGCCTCAGATTGGCGAGACGTCACAAGTGGAGTCCCGCAGGGGTCAGTCCTTGGACCTATACTGTTTCTGGTATATGTAAATGATCTCCCAGAGGGTATAGATTCGTTCCTCTCAATGTTTGCTGATGATGCAAAAATTATGCTATATCTACAGCTATATCAGGAGAAGACAACAGTAAAGAAACAGGTGATGAAACTGTGAAAGGGCAGGCTCACCGAGAATGACACTGAGGTGAATGAAGAATTCAAGATATTTGAAGATGTCTTCAAAATAGAGGAAGTGCCTGAACTGTGAGAGGTGGCATTAAACTAGGCAACACTTGAGGAATTTGATGTTGCCAGAGAGGAGGTATGAAAGCATCTGTTGTTGAAACTGAACATAACAAAGGCTGTTGGACCAGACACTCGCAATGGATACTAAAAAAGGGAGCAGAAGCACTATGCTTGTCACTTTCTGTGCCACATAGTAGATCACCGGAAACAGGAGACCTGCCAGAAAAGTCGAAGACAAGTTATGTAGTCCCAATATTCAAGAAGGGAGACAGGCGGAACTGAACACAGGGGGAGTGTTCCTAACTTGCATACCAAGCAAAGTGTTCCTAACTTGCATACCAAGTGACGCAGAAGATTTTGAGAAAAAGGTTTCAAGGCCATTTGGAGGGAAGGGAATTTGTAACACATCTCCAGCACGGGGTCAGGTTTATGACCAGGGGACAAGATATAGAAAAGGCAGAGCAGGGTTGGTAGAATGCATATTTCTAGTTTGTGAGAAAGCTTTTGACACAGTGCCCAATAAGAGACTATAGTGTGTAAGTTGGAGAAGCAGGCAGGAGTGATAAAGAAGGTACTCCAGTGGATAACGAAGTACGTAAGTAACATAAAACATCGAATTACTGTCTTGATGTCACCAGCTGAGTCCCGGTTCAGTACCAGCACCAATCCTGTTTCTCATATACGTAAATGACCTTCAAGAGGGAATAACAGACTCATTAATCTCCATACTTGGAGATGATTAAGAAATTATGAGGACAATTAAGAAAGAGGAAGCTAGCAAGAGGCTAAAAGAGGACTTGGACAAATAAGTTGCTACTTGAATTTAACTCAAGTAAATGAAAAGTAATGAAATTAGGCGAAGGGAGCAAGAGACCGGAAACAAGGTATCAAATGGGAGATCAAATCCTTCAGGAATCATATAGAAAAGTTCTGGGGGTCGATGTCACACCGAACTTATTCCTGAAGCTCACATCATAAGAATGTCATCAGCGGCATATACTTGGTTAGCCAACATAAGAATTGCTTTTAGAAATTTGTGAAAGGAATCATTCAGAACTTTGTATTTCATATATATGGCAGACCAATCCTGGAGTATGTGTGGATCCATATCTAGATACACCAGACGAAGTTAGAAAAAAGTTCAGAGGTATGCCACCAGACTAGTTCCAGAATTGAGAGGTATGAGTTACGAAAAAAGTCTACTACAATTAAACCCCACGTCGCTACAGGACAGAAGAATTAGGGGGGGGGGAGATATACAACCCGTTCTCGTACTTTCGTATAGTCAATATTGACTTATTAAATACGTGCATATGTGACATACTAATTTATTGTGAATATTTTAGTTTACCTTAAAAAGATTCATTGAAAACACCGACCTTACCTAACCTTCTTAGTATGTTAAGATAAGCATCTTATTGCTTTGTAATTACAATTATTACATAACCTATTATAGGTATAGGTTAAGTAATAATTGTAATTACGAAGCAATAAGATGCTTATCTTAACATACTAAGAAGGTTAGGCAAGGTCGGTGTTTTCTATGAAGCTTTTCAAGGTAAACTAGTATGTTTAGTATGTCACATATGCACTTATTTAATAAGTCAATATTCACTGTAAGAAAGTGCGAGAACGGGTTGAGATATGACAACCACATACAAAATTGTCAGAGGGAAAGTTGGAACACCAGTGACTCAGGAGAACACTAATGCCTCAGAGGAAAGACAACAATGGGCCTCTTCAGAGAGGAGAACACCAAAAGAGGAAACAAAATTTACCGAATAACTATGTGAGAGAGACGCAGCCGCTCTGATGCAACAGCCAAACTGTTAATTAGAGAGTCACGACTATAAACCTTCGAGAAGCGCCGAGACCTTGGCCACGCAAGAGGAACACTCCGGGATTAGCGTCTAGGAAGTAAAATGAAAGACATAATTAGCAAAAACTAA